GAAAGTGAGTTTTGAGAAGGGATTTGGAGTTGGAAAGCAGAACTCCATTAGAAGAGAGGGTCACGAATGGACTATGCCAAATCTCTGCTTTATTTAAGGGAGAATAAAACTTCAATAAATATTATATCAAGGTAAGGAAAATTCCATTGTAGATTGACAGAGGCTCAAGTATGGTGTAGGTGGATGGGTGTTCAAGCCTGACATGTCTGGCAAAGCAGCACCAGTGACATGAGAGGACATCCACAGTGTATGAAACACGAGGGGCAAAAGGTATAAGCTGGTTTTCTCAGAGTGAGAGAAATTACTTGTCAGAAGACCTGAAGTGGAAGGGAACCAGAAGAGCAAACACAAATTAACCCCAGCTCACACCATCCATGCAAAACCATTGAAGACAGCGACTGAGATGTCAAGTAGGTCTTTAGTCCATGCCCCTATTACTGTCAGGAAAAAATCCTTTTCATGTTATAGTAATTAAAATGCTCATAGGTGTTTGATTAACTCACTCTACAGAGACACATAGATTTTATAATTCATCCAAGCACTTACAAGTAGTTACTTGGGTTAGGCTGTCAATACAGAAATGATTCAAAACCTTGTGTACTTAGCTCCTTGGAAGACATATCACTCCCTAACACAATGGTATTAGAAAGACTGCTGACAGTTAGTGATCAAGAGATTTCATTTTGCTTGTCATATGGTGGGTTGTCAATTCTTCTTTTCCCTTTAGATAAATGCTTAGTTGCATTAGATTTAAATAATGGTGAAGTTGCAGGCTAACATTTTTCAAAAGTACTAAAGTGACTTCAGTACTTAAATTCTATTTTCAAAATGCTGTAGACATGTAAGAACATAAGTCTCTACAGTAAATGGAACTTAGAAAATATTAAAGAAATGTATGGAAATGTGAAGAATAAAACCCCAACTCTAGAGGTCTTAAAATTTGTACCCTACTTCAGACCACTGTTTTTAAATATATAAAGTTTGTTAATTATTACAATTCGAAGACAAGCTAAAGATTTAAATTTCCATTTTGAACATACTTGATTGTTTTCACATCAGTGTTTCCATGACATTGTGCTTTATTGCAGATTTCCTTCCACCTCTCTAAAAAGATTTTTAAATGACAGTTTTAAGATAGTCTTTCTCTCAAAATACAACTTTTCCTGAGTTATGCTCAAGAGTTAAGCAGGGGCTGCAAAGATCTTTTTTCTTATGAAAAATATCTATGTAAATTATTTTCTTGATTTTTTTTTTAACAGTAAATATGAAGAGTTTAGAGGAGGAAGTGACCGTTAAAACTTTACTCCCCCCCTCCCCAAGTGAAATGACAAGTTGAGTCACTACCTAAAAGTGTAACAGTAGTCCAGATTTTACTTCTATTATCATTACTAACCTAGTATTAAGCAAATAAATAATCCATGTGGTTAGTCTATATTTAAAATATTTGTTCTTCTTTAAATATAAAGTAACTTTCACAGAAACAAACAGAAGTGGCTAGAGACTGAAATAATCCCTTTGATATTGAAGCTGAGTATTTTCTCATTTAAGCTCCAAACATCATCTCTCTCATGCCCATAGGGCTTTGCACTGTGCTCGAGCACTCCACCTTGTTGATTTACTGCTCCCCTCGACTGCTTAGCTCAGATGCTGACCTACGAAAGGGTGGGTACAAGCTTAGGTATCACAAGATTTTAGGAGCTTATCTTCATTCATTAATTGTTCTGTATCATGTGTTTAAATGGTGAATTTCTCAAGTTAAGCTATATTTCTTCTAATACTTTTGGTTTGGTCTGTTGCTGCAGGTATGGCCTATGTAATGATGAGAGCAAACACAGTTTGAAATAGGACTGCCATAGCAGCTATAGAACATCTAAAAGGAAAAAAAAATAGGCCAGACCTTTATTAAATTTTAAAGTATGCCTTTGCTACACTCTTGTAAAGAACCAAATAGGGTATTCAAATCTCTAGAGATCACCAGCATAATTTCTTTATCATGTTCCATTTAAAATTTAATTATGTAGTCTACAACAAGAAGTATCTGAGTACTCTAAATAGGTCATGCAATGAACAACTTAATATTATTATAAAGTTTTCCTTATGAAGATCCATTCTTTGATGTGCTGTTGCACAGAGAAAGCTTTTCTTCCAAAAAAACAATATACATTCATAGATATAATAATGTCATTTAATATAAAATTTGTAAAGCTTCTTTATCATATTTTAAGTTTAAATTTTCAATTCCATCTCTAGGTTGAGCTTCCCAGAATCATCAGGAATAACTGGTAAATTAGTACTGACACAATATAATCATGCTGAATATTTTTATATCTTTCTACGGGCAAAGTTAATCTATTAGTTTTCCTTATAAATTATGTCCACCATCTCAGATTTTTGTACTTTTGCCTATCAGTGACACATATTCTTCAGTGGCAAGAAGTAAGGCAATTTCTTCTTCCTCCTAAATATAATCATTAGAGAACAATCTGCAGTATTTCAAGGAAAATGGCTATAGTAAAAGGTCACAGTTACCAAGACACTTTGTTATATCTACTTTTTAAAAAATGCATATATGTAACCTCTCTTGGTTACTATAGGAGAAGAGAAAATACTAAAAATATTCTCTTCTGTAACTTCTTACTATTTACAGGGCTTTCTGGGAACAAATCCCTAACTTCTCTTCCTTAATTCAACTACGTAATATTCAGAAGGGCTTTTTTAGAATTTTCTCTCACTTTTTTTTTTTTTTTTTTTTTTTTTGAGTAATAATGACAACAAAAAATTGGTGCCGCCAGTGCCTAAACCTTCCTGACAGTCAGACAGAATATTCTGAATACAGACACATCTGCTCACACTCACATCGCTTGCAGGAAAAACACTTTCACCAGGTTTACGGATACTTGGAAAGGATTTGATCAATCCTGTCCACAAATATATCCACGAGTCATGATTGCCCTGAAAAAAGGAATCATGCTTGCCTCACATAAGAGAGTTAAATTTCTAGCATTGCAGAGGGTTTTTTCTACCCATTGGACAAAATACAGCAAACACAGTGACTGTGGGAAAGCAGTTATTAGTTTCATCATTGCAAGGTTCAACACCTAAAATTTTATATGCTATAAAGTAGTTACCAGGTGAAGGTGGAAGAAGATGTGGTGTTGGTAGGGAAATTAGTCTGTTTCACTGCTATGAATTAATAATAGGAAAATAGTTCTCTTGAAGTTTGGAAGAAAAACAAAAAATATTAGATTAATACTTCACAACATAAGATTAAATCCCCAAGGAACTGTTTGTTTAGAGAAATGCAAAAACAGGTGAATCTCCAAGAAGGCTGGAGGACTAGCCAACCTGTGCACAGCTGTAAACATTTGTTTTGAATCAAGACAAGGTCATTGGTTTTCATATCTATAGCACAATTACAATGCCTTGTGCACATTGCTTGTATAATATGATTTTTACTTGCGACATCTTGTGCAGTTGAAATTAAAGCCTTGTGGTAATAATTCAAAAAGCACATTTAAGCAATCATTAATGGCAAGTATGAAACTGGATGTTTATTCAAGCACCTATATCTCTCATTTTTAATTTAAAGTGGAATTCATTTCTGCAGTAAAAGGACTTCATGTTTCCAGTATATTAGTCATATAAAACTTAACCAATTGGGGCATGCAGTCAAACTGGAAATATTTTAGCACTAAAACCAGTAGAACATACAGCTTAGCATTGTTATTGACATTCTTAATAAAGGAGACAGCTACTCTGTTAAATCTCTGTATATTTTTTTGTACTTATGAAGAATTATAATTCTTTTGTGAAGAATATGAATAGAATTTTTTACATGGCAGGTAGGCCTGATCATTGGTCAGCACTTTAAACGCTTGTCAAAATTTCAACAGCATCTTTGCTTACACAACTGACGATATAAAGTGATGGTAAATCATAAAAAGAAAGGTAGCGAATAAATGAACAACTGATATAAATAACAGGAGTTCGTACCTACAGAACAAAGTGATGTGTTAGAGGGGAAAAAACCACCACATACAGTGAAAATATACATTTTTACAGCTTATCAATACAGACAAGCCAACTAATATACACTACACACACCATAAAGCAAGGACATTTTTTCTCTGTCTTAGAAGAAGAAATACCTTGTACCTATTACCACGCTTAAAGAAAACTGACTTTCTTGTTGAAATATTCTTTTTACATTATCTATTATATGAACTACAGCACTGGTATTAATCAGAGGATAACAAACCCCCCAACACCATGACCCCATTGAAACCCCTGCACCTCAAAGAGCAAGACTGGTGGCAAAAGATGCAAGAGGACTGAGAGCACCATTTTTTTTTTGCTCACCACGATTCTCTGCTAAGTGACAGGTTACCACATCAGATTTTTTGTTTCCCTTCTCTCCTCCCTTTTCTCTAGCTGCATGATTACTGCATTTTATTGCGTCCTCTGATAATTTGTAGACAGGTCTCTTCAAAAACCTCTGTTGCAGCCTGGGAGTCTTGTCTAGTTCTATTGTTTTATAAAAAGCTTTTTCAGCATAGAGCAATTTGGTCTAAGCTGCTTTCCTGCTTTCCAATTGAAAATGCCTTAAGATCACAGTGTTTTTTCCTCCTACCTCCAAGTTTCCCTCCCCTCATCCCTCAGGTGAAATTTAAAGCAAAAGCCAAACCACCTGCAATGGGTATAATTGCACAGCTGGAAGAAAGCCACATCTGGGATTTTTCTCATCAGGTACACAACTGTGCTAAGCCTCAAAGCAACTTCAATGTCTCGCTTTAAGCTGTGTAGTTTTGGTTGTGCCAGTATTTCACAGTCATTTGTCTGTCCATGGCATGCAGTGTGTATTCTATTCTCTGTACCTCCTGTTCTCAGTATTCTGTCAGTTTTCCTTAGGAAAAGGATCATGTTCTGGCTCAAAAGGTCATGCTTCTTTCAGCACCTTCCAGACATTGATACACAGATGCAGCTTAGAGCAACTTGCTTACCTTGATAATGTTCCAGATAACTCTGTGGCAGTCTCTCTGAAAGACACAAAGTGAGGAAAAATTAGATTGTGTTTAAAGAGGCTATAAAATTTTAAAGACGCTTTTATTCTGCTTATATTTTATAGAAGTGCAGACACACACAGAGCTTTATACGCAAATGCATCATTTGCAGATGCGACGTCCACATGATCATATACACAGGAATGTGAAAAACAGATGAAGGAGTGTGATCTAAGAATTTCATCAGAATAAAGTTCTCAATGGTTCAATTACTCATTTTTTAGGCATAAAATTATCACTATTTCAAATGCCAGCACTGAATGATCCTACATAGCCAACATGTAGCACTGGGCCAATTTTTCAGTGGGAAAAGTTCCCTTTTTTCAGTACTGCTGCAAAAGAAAGACATTAGACAGATTTATAAGCATGTCGTGCACTGAAAAAAAATAACATGTTAATGGTAAAGCTTCTTATATTAGGTTTTAGGCAGTAGTTGTTTTCCAAATATGTATTTTTTTGATCCACTTGTTTGAGTCTGTTTTGTGGGTTTGCAATTTGTTTGAGAGAAACTGAGTGTGAGATAGTGAAAGTAGGCTAAAGTAACTGATATGTTACATTAGAGCACAAATAAATATGATATCATTACCTAAGTACACAATCCTTAAAATACATCCCAGATCTACCACCACTGTATGCTCCCCTCCACAGCACATTTGCTTAGACCTTATCTAAACACCAGGAAAACAGCTGGAAAGCTCCATTTCTCCTTTCTTTCCCATGTATAAGACCTTAAAAAAAAACAGGAAGGAGGCATAAAGGGGTTCCTACACTTGACCAGAGGTCCATCTCATTTCATACTTTGATTGTCCAGTTATGAAATCTCTGTCCTATGTTCAAGTTTACTGAATAAAAGGCAGCTAGTTAGTTCATACCCTATTTGCTTCAGCTGAGATCCAAACTGCAAAATTTCACCTCTATAGCTTTGAAGTTGCGGTATGGGCAATTCTCAACATAATACTCTCTTCTTGTTTACAGCTAAGGAACAGAAAACCCTTCCATCCACTTTTACATACAGGAGGGAAAAAATATCTTTTCTTTGAGGGAGTGATGGTGGTGGTGGTAAAAACAGGTCTCAATCTTCCTTGCTTTAACAGTTCTTGAAACCATGGATCTAGTGATCTCTAACTATGGAACCAAGGCTACATATTTATGTTGAGAGGGTATAAACCTAATAGATACAGATTGAACTCGAAAGCCTAATTCATTTAGGAATCCAAAATGGAAAGAAAGAAAAAAATAAATATTTTTGAAGGCTCTTGTAGATCTTTACGTTGTTCTGACGTCGCTTTTTTTGATGGGACAACTACAGATTTATTACAGTAAAAGCAAAATAATAAATAGCTCTTTAGTTCCAGACTCCCCATGCTTTTTGGCACTGTATGAATTATGAGCAGATACACTGGGTCTTTTTTATGTTTTGGTTTGCTTTGTTGTTTAATTTTGGTTGCTTTTTTTTTTTTTTTTTTTCGGTTTTGGTTTTTTTTTTTTTTTTTTTGGTTGGTTGGTTGTTTTTTTTTATTGAGCACCCCACAGTAACACCAAGTCTTTTTTGTTAATGCTTACACTGGCAATTGTAGGCTCCTTTAGAGTGCCAGAGAAGATAAAATGGTCACTATGAACATGCATGGCTTTGCATTTTCATTGAGCCTCTGTCTTCAAGCTATGCAGTTTGCTGGTCACAGAAGATTGCCTTAAACCTCCCAGTGTTTTGCTTCAAAAGGCACAGAGCAGAACTGTGTTCAGTGGTTGCACAGAGGAATAAGCAAAAAAGGAAAAAGAAGGCCCCCACCCTTTTCTTGCACACACCATTCAGCCACAGACCAGCAGATATTTCAGCCCTCTCAGAAGAACCAGTTCCCATCCCAGCAAAGCCAGACAGGTACATATTTAGCAGGTGCCCCTGATAAACAAAGTCCATGATATAAGTGACATTAAAGGTGAGAGTGAGGAACAAGAGGATATAAAATTAAATCAGAGTGGAGCAATACAGACTTGGTTTCTATGGGGTAATTTTGAACAGCTGTATATTTTAGATATTTATTTTCATTCAACTCCTGCATACTGGTATCATACCACCTTATTTTCCAAGCCCTACTCATAACTTGAACAGTCCAAAGAATTAGTATGATATTTTCTGTAAACTGTCAAAGAACTAGAACACTAAATGGTTCCAATAGTCCGGAAATTTTTCCCTTCCACCACTAATCACAGGAATCATTTCCTTTTATTGAAATGCTTTTATGGGGAAAGAACCTGGAATAAAAGGTCAAGCTGGGCAATTCTTAGTTTCTTCTTCTGAAGGAACTCCCTAGTCTTTAGTTACCTATTATCACTCTAATAACAGAACAGCATAAACCTTATTGCTTTAGGGCATGAGAGCACATTTTATAAAATAGCAGTTGCTCATTCAGCTTAAATAGACAACCAGGCAAATTGCAGGTGGGTATTGCAGGAAGCATCAAGAAGCAGAAAAGGCGAGATTTAAAAGAGGATGTTAGACTGGAAACACACTGTCAACTTCTGAGCAGAGCAGCGAGTGATTGGTGCCTCTAAATTTCTCAAGATTTTAATTTTTGTTAAACAACCTTCTCTACAAGAGGTACTGGCCTTATGAAAACCATTCTTAAATAGTCAATACAGTGGTAAAAAACCCGAATGTGATCAGAATGCTAAACAAAAGCACTGCAGGCCTTTAGCATACACATTTTTAATGTAATTAATTGTTGCCAGTTTCACATTTGGTCAGATCAAATTCCAATTAAAAAAAAAAATATGTAAGGTAACGATTTTTGAAATACAGATCAAACTCAAATAAAACTCTAAAACTCACAAGTAAAAGATGAGATGTCTGATTACTTTCCAACTATTCAAAGATTTCACTGTTTCTCATCAACTCAGTAAACATTTAAACCATATAAAAAAAATAAAACCTCTTTAGATTATTGAACTAAAATTATTATTTTCCTAGAAAACAAACACAATTATCCCTGCAATCTCACTGAAAATAAATGAGGCATGGACTGCTGAAGATGGTTAATGTCCACTGTAAGTGTCCTATAAATATCAGGAATTGAAACACTGCTCTATAAATATATTTCATGGGAGTTTAAAAGAGAAAATCTTATGGAGCAAATTACTCATCAAGGAAACCCTTAAAGTTTATTTAAAGATAATGGATACTCATTCTGCAGTATTTCAAGAAACTGAAGCTAGACTTATACAACCTAGTACTCCCAAATGACACATACAATAAATACAACTCAGAATTTACTGTATCTACAGGGAAAAAAAAATCTTGAATAAAAAGAAGAGAAGGATAATACTCAGAGGGAAAATGAATATAAGACCACGTATTTTCACATCGTGCCTACGATATGAAAGGATGACCTTGAAAAGAGTGAGGATGGAAACCTAAATGTTTCATCAGGACTTCCCCAAATTCCACTGAAATCAGTACCAAAGCAAATGGGATAAGCTAATGCATAACAATTCTAAGGACAGAAAAGGACAAGGCTAAAGACCCTGGAAAACCTGTTAGGTGGAGGGTGAACTTCCAAAATGTAACTGCAGCATTTCTAGGAAGGTCATTTACAATTTCCTAACATTTTGTGATCAGCTGTGCAGGATGGATCTGGGGCAGTGTGGTCCATACATATGGAAGATGAAGGTGTTGTTGAAGCAAGAGAGTGATGGATGGGAGGTCTGCACCCCAAAACACTACTCCATCACATGTGGTCTTCCAAAAAATCAAATTGCAGGTTTAAAAATTGTTCACTGGACCTGTGAGGAGCTTTGACCTACTGAAGAGTCTCTGCACCCTCCAGAGAGGGCTACATATCTATTCTCAAAACCCAGAGAAAGCCGGTATAGGGAAACCAAGCACCACACACACAAGTTTTGTCATTTTCCTCTACAGGCTGAGAAATCCTTCTCGTAGGATCGGAGTAGGATGTGTACCAAAGCAGAAAAGTATAAATATTTTAGTCAAAACCTTATAGTGAAGTGGAAGTGGGAAGATCTGCATAAAGAACAGCAAACAGACTTTACTGCCTATTAGTTTTGTTTAAAAAAAGTTGTTCAGGAAAACTCTTCGGAATATTTGGAAAGTGTTGTGTTTGTATTAAATGTTTTGTTCACTGAGAAATCATATGGTGCTCTTCTCTCAGAGGCTGACTGTCAGCTGTTGTTACCCACCTACTTGCAGGGTTTGGCACAGCACAGCTCTGAGGTTTAACTGTGCAGCTCTTTTGTCTGGTTTAATACTCTACTCTGTGCTTCTGCAGAGATGTAAACTGAGGCACAAGAGACAGGGCAGGGGTTTAAAGGGCAACTGAGGTAATCTTGTGTGTATTCTGCTAGATGCATGCCAGGAAAATTTGAAAGTACTGAGTTCAAACCATGTGAGTCAAGACTATGCTTAAAAACGTTTCTTGGTTTTTTTTTTTTTTTTGTTTTTTGTTTTTTTTTTTTCTGCAGGATCATGACCCCTAGTGATTTGGAAAGCCTTAGGTCTCCATCGAGAATAATTTTTTGTTGTGAAAAAGAAAGCATATGGATTCAAGCTAAGCAATCTGTTGGGGTGCTGGGGAAGATGCAAAAAGAAAGGCAGCAACACATTCCTCCAATCGTGTCAACGTTCTTCCTTTTTCCATCTCACACTTTGTGGAGAGGATAAATCCTGCCTACAGCACACAAGGCAATTGAGGATAAGGACATAAGGATAAGGGCAAAGCTGAAGAAGGGATCTGTATGGTGTGCTATTAAGAAAACAGTACAAATACAAGCAGAAAAGCCCTCAATATGCAGAATATGGGAGTCTTGAGACTTGTGAAGCGTCCAAACCCCTAGGCCATGGTTATAGTCTTTGGGTCCAGCAGTCATCATTTTAACCAGGAGGGTTAGAAAGTCCTGTCTTCGCCAGGACAAGTGACCACAGCCCATTTGGTTCCCCAGGACATGTAGCAGTAGTTAGTTCA